GTGAAAATGGACTGCTGTGCATTTAGCTGTGCTTTCAGGCCCCTCCCCTTTTGGGAGCGTTGGGCAGAATTAGGAGGGAATTCCGTCTCGTAGCGGTTGTGCACTGTTTTGAAATGCCGCTCCTAAATTACCCTTCTTCGATAAAGCCACGCTCGCATTGCAGATGAGACAGATGGACTTTGAATTGGAATAGATACACAAATAATCATCCTCCCACTCGGAGTGAAAATTATATATTTTGGGCTTTTTTGCTTCTGCCATTATTGCGGTCTTGTGTGTGTGCGGACTGTCACTCCTGTTGACACGGACAATGTCAGCGAACTAGTGCACTGCCCACTGCCCACCAGCCACGCCCCGACACAGGGGTCACGCTGGCCAATCACAAAGCTTTGATGCGTTCAAGTGCATTATTCTGGCACAGGAAGATTATGTTATAGGACGTTAACGATAAAACTGAATATTGTTGTTCTATTTTTAGACACATCTCGCGATCGACTGGGAATCTCCCCGCGATCGACCGGTCGATCGCGATCGACTGGTTGGGCACCCCTGGTATAGAGGTCAATAAGAAAATGATCCAACTCTGTCTTGATCTTTAAGTTAAAACCAGTTAAGCCCCGAGCCTTTCAGGTCTCAGGCTTGAAAATGAATTCCCAGAACAAATGACTATCTTCACTTCTAAAAGGGGTAAATTAATAATCTTTTTTCTCAAAGCAATGATACACCTGTGAGTTAGATGTAGAAAATTCAGAATCAATATAGATGTTTTTATTTTAAAGTAAATTCAGATTGAACATAGTCAAAAAATGTAAATGATAGTGTCCGTCCAAAAAAAAGCCATTACTTATAGTGCAAACTACCCTTGAATGATGGGATCGGAGACTAAAAGCTTTAGGAATCCAAACTATAACATATAATAAGTATCCTGTATCAAGATTGATGCAAAACAAGTGAAATTTGATCTTTTTAGAGAGGTTTAAAAAAAAAGAAACCCACTTCTGGGGTCATTTTGGTGGATTTGACCTATCTCTGGAATCCCTCGGTCGATGTTGATGATTGACACCTCCTTTTAACCGTTAGAGCCAATGGAATCGAGGGGAAGTTCCTCAAATCCATCAAAACATTACCCATTGGTGAATGAGTGATGCGTAGCCAGAATGCCCAAAACCGGAAGCTGTCATACATTCTTGTAGCAGCTAATATGAAATCTCCGTTATTGACATAAATATAAAGATGGATTATCAGTAATAATTTCAAAGTGACACAGACACATTGGATTAACCTTCAGCAGCATTTTCATCGTTTTAATGCCATTGAACACAACTTTTGATCAGAAAACAGCAACGGTAAGACTTAATTTCCGTGTTGCTCCCGTAAAGCACGTTGTGTGTTGTCTGGGTTTGCTTCCCCTGCCGCAAATTTTGATCGCTCAGTGATGATACTTATACCCCTAGAATCTGTGGAATCTCAGCTTGCTAGCTGATATCTTGTTTGTGCAGATTCGATAAGTAATAATAAGGTATCTCTACAGTGAGTTCTGTGCTAAGTGTGTTAGCATTTTTTCCCGCTCAGGGCTAATTCAGAGGCTTGGTATGACCCTTGTGTTTCGTTTAGCTAAAAATGGTAAATATTGTCTGATAGCTGAGTTTCTTCCCGTTAAGTGGGTATGACACATTCATAGTTTGTTAAATGTTAAGAAGCCCTCAGACGCTGTTTCTTGCAAGATGTTGCGTTTTTCCCCCGGTACCGGGGGCTTAACTGGCTTTAGTAAAACAAATTCTCTTGAGTGTTTGGTCTCACACCACAGATGTAATTCTACTGTAATACAGCATAATGTTTAATATGTAAATTCTAGTCATCATTTAGAATAAAACTGACGATAAAACTGTATGATTTAAGGCGAGGCTACCTTGTGAGTGACTACGTTCACGTCTTGTTTAAAGACTATGATTTAAACTGACAAAATGTTGAATTGCTTTTTTTTGTCTTTAAATGAGTGCAAGTCTATTTAATATTTGTTAAATATAATTGAACAGATGAAGGAAAATGTGTACCAGTCACATTGTATATTAAATATAGAGCTGGATTCAGGACATGGATAGCTTAGCTTAGCATAATAACTTAAAGCTATTATAATTTAAAAAGAAAATCAATGCATTCTTGAGATGGTGTTTAATCCTGAAAACGCAGTAAAACGATGACAGTTAAGAAAAAGGCAGCAACGAAGACTTTTAACTCAAGAATAAAGGCAAACAACCATCTTTATCTTTACATACTTTTCTTTTACAGCCCTCCAGAAGTGGCGTTGCTGTGAAAGAAGCTTATGAAAAAATAAACGTCTGCCGATCTCTAAGGATTTAACTTAAAGTGTCACTGTTGGCCTCTTCAGTTCCAACTGTTATTACTGATTACAACATAAAGACTACACATGAAAGACTTACATTTCAACGTTATTCTGACGTTGTTGTAACACCTTGTTGACGGGTTGCTAAGGTGGAGCCTGAGTGAACAAATGTTCAGTTAGTTTAATGATTTAGTAATTACTCCGACACAGAGTCCAGTATAAATAGCGCACTTTGTGGCCACGCCTTGACTCAAAAACTCCAGACAAATATACCTAAAGTGGAAAAATGTAAGCACTGCATAGAATGTGTGGGACCACTGCTGACTCAAAGTCACCATAGTGGTCAGAGTCTCCATCCTCTGATTCAGTTACTGAACTCTATTCAGATTGAAATCCAGCATGAACCTCTCTATTGTAGCATTCTCCCCATTCCTGTGCCCTTTAGAGGATTTCAGACTGTACTGCTCACAATGACTGGGCACAGTAACAGGCAACACCATTCTCTAGCCCTGACCTAATTTACCTTTAAACTGCAAATAACTCCTATTCACCTACAATTAAAAGATTTGTTGGGTCCTTGCCTATCCATTTAGAGTCTGGTAAAATAATAGAAAGCTCCTGGCATTGATCTCATGCTGCCAGCTTCCTGTCTCTTTCTTCTCTACACTTTTCCATCTCATCCATTTACGCTGCTTTGCCTGAGATACCGCTCTTGAACATTTCGCCTCTTTTGCCTCTGGTTCTTCTCCACAAACAGTTTCCTCCTGCCAACTGCTGTTGCTCCATGGCTGAGACATGCTTAGTCCAAACCCTACAATATGTCTTTGTCTGATCCAGTGAAACTGCTTCCTTTGGGTTCCACTTCCTTCCTACTGAGAGAGGTAATGCTACATCCTTAGACAGTCTTCTCCAGTCTTGCTTTTGCAATTTTCAACATCTGTTAAACTAGTTATAGGAAGCTCCAAAATATCTTACAAGGCCTGAATGCAGAGCTCTTATTTTCTTTCCATCCTCTCTATCGGGGGCCATACATCTCTATACTCTTAATGCTGTTAACTACCGGCTGTCTCAACAAAAACCTCTTACTTGATAGCAGATCTATTACAATTTAAATATTCATTTATCGCTTGCTTAGAATAATTTAATACAAGTTCATGTTAAGTTAACTTAAGCAGCTGTGTTACTGTACATGGTGATGGTTGCTGGTTACTATCAGCAATATTAAATGATTAATTATGCATTTATATGGTCACTGTGTTTTACTATTATGTAATGTTTTTAGTTTAATATTACTGCTGCATTAATGTTGCATTTTAAGGCTGTAGATGTTTAAGTTTGTTCTAATTTACCTTTGTGTACTGCTTTTTGTCTATTCAAATCTGGAGACATGTGGTTATCACTTGTCAGGAATCGGATAAAATATAATTGTTTGAAAAGCTAAATCTGTCAAACAAATGTAGTGGGGTTAAACATACACTTCATACATCTGAAGTGAAGTGGCATATGTTATAAAGTAGCATTCAATGGAAATACTCAAATAATATAAAAATACCATGAACTTTTATAGTAAATGTACTTAGTTGTATTCATACAGCAGAGGTGCTGCTGTTGAAAGAGAAGCCTTACTGTCATTATATCCCACTCAAACTCCCATTATAAGTTAAGTGGGGTTCATTTGTATCAGTAGAAACAACATTTGTAGGTGAGTGAATACTCCAGGATTGCACATGTCGCTGTTTCCTGCACACTGGGCATTCCGTGGTACCTGAGTGAAAGAGCAGCTTTGTCTTCGGTCTCTTTTCAGGAGTGAAAGTGAGCGGCAGAGAGAAGGTAACGGGGCGAGGCGTGATACTCTCAAATGTTTAAGGGGCCCAGTAAAGAGCCCAAAGGTGACGGCAGGACAACAGAGCAGAAAAGCAAGAGAAATCTGAGGCGGTTGGTTCAAAGATCTTCATTATAGGACGGTAGTGGTGGAATGTAACTCAGTACATTTACGTGACATCTGTAAGCGGTGGACTAATCACAACAGAGCCAGACAGCTAACCAATCAGAGCAGACTGGGCTCTGGTTTCAGACAGAGGGTGAAAAGAGGTGCTGCAGCACAGGCAGTATGAGAACAATAAAGACCCTTTTGAACATTAAAGCATGGAGACATGTCCCAGTAGTAGAGGCACTAAATACAAATATGAACCTGGAAATGAGTATAATAGGGCCCCTTAAAAAGATGATACAGACTGAAAGCCTTTTGACCAACATCATTTACATGTTGCCATCATTCCTTGCCATCACTCCTGTCGTAATTTGACAAAGATACACATTTGCACAAAGGATTTTAAATATATTACCTATCAAATGCTACAGTATGCAGTTTTACAGTATAACATAGAAACGGTGTGGTTTTTTTTGCAGTCCTTCGCAGTCATAACGTTATTTCATTCCTGCATGAAAGTCTGTACAAATGTGAAAGAATTGAATGAGATTCTGCACTTATTTAAGAAATATGCGGACTCTGAGATTACAGTCTAATTTATAGTATTATCTACTGAGTGGAAAAGTACAATGTTTCATAGGATGTGTTGGAAATCTTAAACATTGGTGTTTTTGTGTCAGTATTTAAGTTACACAAACTCACTACTCCCCCTATGCCTGCTTCTTTATTGAAGGCAGTACTCAGAGCCCCACATGCTCCACTGTGCAGCCTTACAGTGGTGTTTCAGGGGGTGTGACCAGGAGACCTGCTCCCCATCTCTTTCTTCTGCACACAGCCGAGCATCCTGCACTCTTTGCTGCTCACTGGACCTTAAAACTCACTACCTGGAGCTCAGCTGATCCAAAAATACACCACAGAAGAAGAGTTTGACTTTGACAAGAGGGAAGGTATTTCTACAAAAGGTGGGTGATGGATGTACTTTGTTTTATTGTTGCTTATGTGTAGTTATGTGTGATAGTAAAGTTGGAGTTATGAAGAGCACAAGGCCAATTTCATATGATAGAATTTTTCCTGAAAACAGTTTTTAAATAGGCCTACATGTAATTGTTTGTATTCTTTATATATCCTCATTTAGGATTAACATCCTTTTGGTAGGAAGTAGGTATATATTATACTGTAAAAAATGTATCTTATACTAAAAAGATGGTTTACATTTTAGTTTACCTGTGGATTCGAATTCCATCTTTGTGTTTATCATGGTTTTTTTTCATCTAAAAGCATCTCTTAGAAATGAAGGGACTCTATTTGTGTGTCACTTTAAAGCAGACTTAATCTTCTGGTTTCATATTTAGGTATAAGTCAGAAGAAAATTAAACCATTAAAACATAACAAATCTAAAATCATAATATCTTGATGCTTTTGGGAAACAAATGATATCCTAAATATGATACAGTACATGTTTGGCAGCAAAAAGTACCATTATTGATTAGTAGTAGTTGATTATTTTATAAAAGAGATTGATTCATTGATGAATAGACTGCAAGAAATCAATAAAATCAATAAAACGTTTACCCTCAAGAGTATTACAGTAAAATGATTGTGATTTATTTTTATTAGGAAGGCTTTTCTAATGCACTGTACATTCTCTATGCAATTATCAATATTGTGACAACGTATTCAAACCTGACCATATGAGAAATGTACATGCAGAGAGGAAATCTAAAAGAAGAGATAGACAGGTGAGGATGTCCCATGTGTGCCCCACCCCCGCCCCTCGACCCCTCCCTGCATGTCTCACACTTTCTGTCTGCTGCCTCAATGTTAGCAGTGTTGAGACGTGATGGAAAAAGCTTCTGTTCACAAAGGCCTCGGTGTCGTCAGAGTTGCCATAATACGGGCTTCAGGGGGAACAGATCTGCTCTTATGGGCCCCGGTCTCTTGGGGAGTGGACCGCAGCAGCTGAATGAGCTCAGTGTGAACTTTCTTCAAACATTTTTCGGAGTGTTCAAACACTTTGTAAAGTGTTTAGAAAATGTTATGATGAAGAAGCTGGAAACTGAGGGTTAGAGAACATGCTATATTGTTTAAAAGTTGGCGATCAGCCATCATATTGATGTTTTTCTTTCCTTCAATAGCGGCTATTTAAACAACTAGCAAATTAATTAAAATCATACATTAATACATTTCTAAACTAGTCAAATCAAATGATTTTTTTGTTAGATTGAAAAGGTTTTGAATGTGATTTTTTGAAGAGCTTTGTTAAATTGGTTAATTCCAGGGTGTTGAGGCATTAGGTTTTCGTTAAAACATGAAGCTACAGTATGTATATCTGAACACATTTTATGTTAAGCTTCCAGTTTATTTCACCAATGAACATTTATTTTGTTCTTATTGAACAACTGTTGCACAGGAAATCACATATTTGTATTGGTATATACACAACCAGTTCATGTTCAAGTCAAATTCACGGTCAATTCAGATTGAGTTCCATTGGGCAAAATCCAAACATGGACAAAACCAACCAGACAACAAAACTAACATTATATAAATAAAGCTAACTTTCATCTTAACATCAAAAGTAGAATCAAGGCAACATGTCTTAGGTGATGGGATGGGGTGCTTTTTCCTCCAGGATATATTTGGCAACAGTGTGACAGTCTTTTCAGGTTTTAGAAAGTATACTATATAACAAGATAATTAGCAATATAACACTGAGTTATGGTTTGAATATGTGCGTAATCTTTAAAAAAATAAATAAATTGCATTTGAGCTCTTTCACAAAGGCCTCGGTGTCGTCAGACTAAGACTAAGTACTTTTGAAATGAACTCTACAGATTGGAAGCAGTATATATTGAAACAGTTATAAAGTGAATAAATATAAACATATTATGTTAAGTTACTCTTCACAAACTCAAATACCAATCTGATCTGCTTCATCAGGACTGTGTGGATACTGTTTCTATCAAATTTGATTGACAATTAACGAAAACAACCAGAAACTGTCAACATCTTTTGATTTGAATCTTGCTAGATGGTAAATAAGCCCATAAAACAGAAATGTCTCCGTAATGGTTTAACTTTAGAAGACAATTGTGTTCTCATGTAAAACATGAAGCATCATGTAAGACCTTTTTTCCGGTGCCTAAAAAAGCACAAGTAAAGATAGCAAAAGGCAAAAAGTAAATAAATAATTCGAGTAAAAAACAAGGTACAATGCATAAGAGCAATCAAATATGTTATTCACTTATGGTTAATGCCACACAAACAGTACATATTAATGTATAATTTAGCAAATGTTTTCAGGTTGATCAGATTTAGCAAATGCTTGTGCCGAGACTAAAGTATCATGATGTTTGTAGCATATTTGATAATATGTGATAATTTGTTCCCCTGTGACGTCTGTGGATATGAACAAATAAACAAATTGGATTTGGAAAAAGTGTTTCACTGTAGAAGGAGGGAGGAGCAGGAAGGGTTACTCTGATGGAATAACAGCAAAACATTTGATTTTGAAAGAACTGGAGCTCCTTGTTTTCCTGTGAGAAAATCAGAGCGTTGGTTGTTAGCGAGTGTTGTAATCGCATCGCAGAGATGTGTGGTTGAGTCTTTCCCTTGAGAAATGTCGTTGCTGTGAAGCTGTGTGGAGGAAAACTGTATTCATGTCTGTTTGGGACTCTAAAGGTGGAAGGGTTGACTTCAAACAAGACAGACTTTAGGCAAAATGACTAATTTGAGTGTTATGATCCCAGTCCTAATTCCAGTGAGGAAGAATGTTGTCAGGACCAGGACAGAGCAGACATTCATGCCAGTATAACTGCAGGAACACTGGTGTACTCAGCATCATGTGTTTCCAATGAAGAGATGTAACTTTATATGGAGCTTCCATGTGTTCAGTGTGTAGAAAGAGATTTTGGTTTGCACTTCTGGATATTTCATTGTTTAATTCTGCTTCACCAAGTGATTGTTTTGGGATTTGATTCTGAAATCAGATATCTGAGACAAGCCATCACACTTTTACAAACACAAGTTGATTTAATGACACATTTAACTTAAATCTAAGCCTGTAGAAAATTATGATATTTTAGATGACATAGTTATGATCGATTCTATATGTCACACAGTACTACCTGATAATCTACTAATAATAATAATATATAATATAATTAACTTGGATTTCTGCTAATTTCCATTCTTTTCTTTCCAGATCAAATATGATAAGGTGGATTGTGTTGCTGTCTGTGAGTCTACATGTCATCTCAGCAGCATTTGATTACATTTATGAAGAGCACTCATTTATGGGTAAGAACGCATATTCATAAAGGGCATCTAATCATTTCATTCATTTATAAGAGTTTTCTGGCAAAGGATAAATTGTGGTAGAAACGTCCTATTTTAAATTCAGTGTACTGTCATCTTCTCATCAATGCTGATGATACTACCATGTCTAACTTTTGGAGTGCATTCACCAGAAAATCTTTCTGATCTCTTCCACAGACCCAGAGGATGTGCTGAGCGTGAGCATTCCTCTGGAGGAGCCACAGCGTCCTCTACTGGGAGCAACGTTGGTGCTACCGTGTTACTTTGAGGTGTGTAATCCAACCAGTATGGTTTGGTTTCCACTTTTGGTTTGGTTTCTCAGATTGTGAACAGAGCCACCATTCACACAATCTAAATATTCACTGCACAATATAAAGGACCTTTTCTTGGAAACACCTAATCAAATTAGTACATGACATGTACTGTGAACGGGGTTACTTATTGCCCTAATGATCACTGGGGCAGGATAGAAACTCCCTCCAGAGGGGACTTTGGGATATTAGCCTATGCACAACATTTTCATACACAAATACCTATATAAGGAGAGGGAAAACCCCAAAATGTTTAATAGGGTATTTTTAACTCTACAGCACAGACATTTCTCAGGAGTTGGTGTAAACCAAAACCAGACTAGAAAGAAGAATAGACTTCAATTCATCAAATCAACAAAAACACAACTCTAAATTCAAAGCCAATGTTGCTCAGTGTCTGCTGGATGTGTAAATATGTCAAATGTTCTTGGATTAGCTTGTGTGCAATAAGTAAGAGAGGTTATACTTGTATACTGAGAATGGACTGAAATTGGCGGTGAATAGGGTTTTTGTTTTTTCACGTTAGGACCACACTGTCCCAGACCCAGGAGCTCCCTCCATCGCACCGCTCGCTCATCGAATCAAATGGAGCCATGTCACTAAAGAAAAAGTCACGACTATTTTAGTGGCCTTGGAAGGACAGGTGCTTATCAGTGAGAGCTACCTGGACAGAGTTCATCTGGTGGGCTACCCCATGACTTCTACAGATGCTAGCATCAAGATATCTGAGCTGTGGTCCAGTGACACAGGAGTCTACCGCTGTGAGGTTCAGCACGGCATCGAGGACAGCCATGACATCGTCCATGTGCAGGTTCAAGGTATGAAAATAAGCAGTCAAAGCCAGAGGAAAGAAATCCCATTATCCATCAAAAAATGTTTTCCTCTGATTGGTTGCCAAATATTTGTAGGTGTGATCTATAAAGTGTCATTACTCACTGCGAAGAGACCACATCTAGAGGACAAGTAAACACATCTACTCAAGTGGCGGTGAAAAATGCCATTACTCCTTCAAGTGATGGGGGGTTGTTCAGCTTTTCAAAGGATTTCTGCATTATGTCAAGTTTTGTTGTATCGATCAACAAGTATTTAATGTTTGGCTAAAATCAAGTCCTATTTTTACTCTCTAGGTATGGTGTTCCACTACCGAGCCATCATTGGCCGCTACAGTTTGACTTTTGAAAAGGCAAAGGCAGTTTGCATGCAGAACAGTGCGGTCATGGCTTCACCTGAACAGCTTCAAGCAGCCTACGATGATGGCTTCCACCAGTGTGACGCTGGCTGGCTCTCCGACCAGACCGTCAGGTTGGTTTATCAAAACATCTCTGAGGCACCTGTTCTGCCCTGGTTCTCTAAGACCCCAACCATACAAAACGTATCTCCATTTAATTAAAGGTACCCGATACGAGATCCTCGTGTGAACTGCTATGGTGACAAAGAGGAGCTGCCTGGGGTCAGGACATACGGAGTGAGAGACCTCAATGAGACTTATGATGTCTACTGCTTCACTGAGAAGATGACAGGTATGCTGCGATGAACACTGCTATTTCGCTGATTGTAATTGATTCTGTGCATTTGCAGGTTTGGGTAATCTAAACTCCTATTTGACTGTTATTGACCTCTCTTATCACACACAGGGAGAGTTTTCTACACTGCTGCTGCAGAAAAGTTCAACTTCTCTGAGGCTGAGTTTGCATGCTCCAGTCAGGGAACTCAGTTGGCCACTACTGGTCAGCTGTACCTGGCCTGGCAGGGTGGGATGGATGTCTGTAATGCCGGCTGGCTGGCAGACAGGAGCGTCCGCTACCCTATTAACATCCGTCGGCCGCAGTGTGGAGGGGGTCTGTTGGGGGTGCGAACTGTGCACCTCTACACAAATCAGACAGGATACCCACTTCCCGAGTCTCGCTACGATGCGTTCTGCTACACAGGTAAGCTATCATTTTAAGAAAGAATGACACCAAGAGCACTGTTCTGCTTAATATCAGATATACGTACTCTACTTAAATATCCTCATGCCTAGAGATTGAACTTTGATAGTAAAAGGTTATACTTTCCGATTAACAAAAAAAAACAACTGTGCTCTTTGAATGAACTCTCAGCAGGAAAAAGGAGTCTGCAGGCAGACTCAATTCCCGCTTATTAAAGTTGAGCATAAACAGTTTTAGGTTGGCGGAGAAAGCTGGTGAACTTTTTATTAATTAAAAGAGAGTTGACCCTTTAAGAGATAATTAGATAACCATGGAAAAAAGCACAACTTATGACCAAACATAGCGATATCCACAGCAAAGATGTCTTACTACTCCCTTCTCTATCACCTTCAGAGTCCACTGATGAGGAAGGTTCAGGCATCATAGAAGAAGGAAGTGGTTTGCTGAGTGTTACTACGGTGACACTGAGCCCAGAGGTGTTCTTCAGGAGGACAACCACAGAGAGTGAGGCGGTTGGAGAGGTGGAGACTCAGCAGCCTACCCAAGTGGACTTCACAGAGAGCCCTATCCAGCTGCCGCTACCTCAGCCACCAAATGTCACTGAGTTGGTGGTTGACCTGATAGAGCCGGCCACCGCCCGACCCGACACACGTAGGGAACCCGGCAAAGGCTTTGTGATGCCTCCTACTGGTCAGTGATATAACTGTTAATGCATGGTTGGACGACTGTAGCATCATATAGAAAGTCCATTTGGTGTCCCTTATGAGGATGTCCCTTGTTTTTCGGTGCAGGTGTGGTGTTCCATTATCGTTCAGGCTCCAGCCGCTATGCTTTCACCTTCGTTGAGGCCCAGCTGGCCTGCCAAAGTGTTGGAGCCTCCATAGCCACGCCAAAGCAGCTGCAGGCAGCATACAAGGCTGGATATCACCAGTGTGATGCTGGATGGTTACTGGACCAGACTGTAAGGTAAATACAAAATGCATTTTTAGAGCAGGTAGAGAGATTCTTGTCCCAAACAAAAAGTCACCAATTGTTCTGTTTTTTTAGGTATCCCATTGTTTTCCCTCGAGAAAAGTGTGATGGAGATCTAGGGGAACTACCTGGAGTTCGGTCATATGGTTTAAGGCCAGGAGACGAGAGATATGATGTGTACTGTTACATTGATGGTATCAAGGGTAAGAAAACATTTCGCAAAGCCCAGAGACTTATTTGTTTTCTATCTTGTTCACCATATTGACATTCCTGCTCCACAGGGGAGGTTTTCCATGTGGGTTCCGCTGAGGGTCTCACCTATGATGAAGCTTCTTCTAGCTGTCAAGAGCAGAACGCAGTACTAGCCTCCCCTGGAGAGCTGTACGCAGCCTGGAAAATGGGTTTTGACAAGTGTCGCGCTGGCTGGCTAGTGGATCGCAGCGTTCGTTATCCCATCAACAAACCCCGTAATGGGTGTGGGGGTGGGAAACCAGGAATACACACTGTTCACGCTCACCCCGACCAGATAGGCTCCCCTGAACTTGATGCCAGATTTGATGCATACTGTTTTAGAGGTAAACACTTGACTGTTATCAAACAAACTCATTCTGGATTGTCATTTTCTTCATCATTCATTGAGCATTATCTTTTTGTTTAATTCTTACAGCGGATTTTCTACTAATTGCAAATGAAACTGGACTGAACATCACAGATATCGAAGCAGCCCTCCTTAACCTAACATCAATTACTGATTTGTTGAAACCTGGTAAGCCATAATTTAAAATAACAAATAACTTTCAAATGTCTTTATTTCCAATGGACCTAACTTGTTCTTTCTATGTCATTTTAGCTGTTCCTTCCATTGTTGCTCCTATTCCTGTGGAGACTTCGGGCTCTGGCTCCGGATCTGCAGACTTTGGCTCGGGGTCTGCCGTTGATGGTGCCTCTGGTGGTCACTCAGGAGATCTGTCTGGATCTGGTGACCTGTCTGGTTCCGGTGATCATGTTACCTCTGGAGAATCGTCTGGTTCTGGAGCATTTTCTGGTTTTGGACGTTTGTCTGGTTCTGGAGACCTTTCTGGTTCTGGAGACTTATCTGGTTCTGGTCATTTGTCTGGGTCTGGAGACCTATCCGTTTCTGGAGACCTATCCGGTTCTGGAGACCTATCCAGTTCTGGAGACCTATCTGTTTCTGGAGACCTATCCGGTTCTGGAAACCTATCTGTTTCTGGAGACCTATCCGGTTCTGAAGACCTATCCGATTCTGGAAACCTATCCAGTTCTGGAGACCTATCCAGTTCTGGAGACCTATCCAGTTCTGGACACCTATCTGGCAGTGCCGAGCTGCCAAGTGGGGCATCAGGTTTCAACAGTGCAGATGCTTCTGGGTCAGCTCTCAGTGGTGAAGGATCCGGCATCACTGTAGTTTTTTCGGGAATGGACAGCATTGTATCTGGAGACGGCTCAGCTTCAGGAGGACTCCAAGAAGCTGGAGAAGGAAGCACAGGGATCTTTATATTCCCTTCATCTGAATCAGGGTCTGGAATGCTCAGTGGTAGCGGGGATCTGTCTGGATCTGGTTTCAGCTCTGCGGAGAGTGGCTCTTCCATAGACAGCTCTGGGGAAAGTGGACAGTTTTCTGGCATGTTCTCCGGTTTCATCACAGGCCAGGACTTTTCTGGGTTTCATGGTTTCCCATCAGGATTCTCTTCAGGAAGTGCTAGTGGACACTCGGGAGAGCTTTCGGGAAGTGGAGACTCACAGATCTTACTAATAGATGGACAACTTATCGATGCGTCTATCTCTACTACCAACAAGGAGTATGAGTTTGGTGGAGGCCTACTGGCATTCAGTGGCTCTGGAGACATCTCAGGGTCTGGGATTATCAGTGGGGATCTCAGTGGCTCCACCTCTGGAAGTGGCTCTGGGTTCTTCTCCTCAGGCGTGACCTTTATTGGGTCAGGGTTCACCGACCTAACAGTGTCATCCTCTGGAGAGCAGGAAGCCTCTGGTTTATTAGTGTACAGCTCTGGACAGGGAAGTGGTGGACATTTGTCTGGATTTGGAAGCTCAAGTTTTATCTCGGGTTCTGGATCGGGAATGTCTGGATCTGAGTCCTCAACGAGCGGAGAAGAAAGCAGTGTTACATTTTTAAGTGGGGATTTTACGTCAGAGGTATCCAGAGACACTACACTGTCTATGGAGCTTGGAGACGGATCAGTGGAGTACAGTGGAGATGGAAGCAGTAGCAGCAGTGGTTTGTCCTCTGGCACTGGAGACAACCACTTATCCACAGCCAGTGGCTCTTCTTCAGGATCTTCCTCTGGGGATCTGCCGACGGTGGTGCCACCCTCACCATCCAGTAACTGGGCACTGACTGAGAGCACCATAGGGCCAGAGGAAGTCCATGGTCTGGTGGAACCAACCCAGATCCCTGTCGACGTCTATGGAACTCCATACTCTGTACTCGCCCCCGCAGGACTGGCTGCCCCTCCTACCGCAGCTTCACCAACCTCTGTGCAGACACCAGGCTTTGTGAAAGGAACTGATTCACTGGAGGGTAGGTTAACAGTTTTCAACAGTGTCATTCTTGGGAAATGGAGGGATAGAGTATATGTAGCTAGGCTTTAATGGCCCTTTCGGAATGATTATTATGGGTTGTGTTTTTTTTTTGGATAATGTCTGTTTGACTAAAAGGCTTTCTGTCCAATGGACAGTCACCCATTGACAGCCCAATGTTCAATTATCACAATATAGTGTACGTTACAGCCCTTTGAGCATTGGGCTGGAGGTTTTAAACCTGCTTTTACAGAAATCTAAAATGTCTGTTTAGACTTCTTAGTACCGTGGAAGGGCAATATAACTTCATTAGCTTTAACAAGATTTCAGGTTGACTCGTCATTTTATGTTCAGTGTTCTGTTTTTGGCAAATTTGAGATCTCATCTCATCAACACACCAATAAAATGAAAATGTACAGTACTGAATTAAAACACAAACATATTGTATCTTGTGAATAATTTTTTTTAAATGACAGCCCTATTGCAATATGCCTGTTGAGTATATGCATCCTAGAGCGTAGAAATAAACAGAAACTAATTTATAATAACATGGATTTGAATGAACATTAGAGGGAGGGTGCATTTAAGTCGCTAATGCTGCGGCATATGCACAATTGAGGGCAACTGCTACATCAGATCCGATTAAACACTAACTTCTTTTGAAAGAAGCACATGTAATTAAATAAATGGACCTGTTTTCTAGGTTTTAACCCGTGTGAACCCAACCCCTGTGGTGCTTCTTTATGCATAGTAGAGGATGGGGTTGCTGTCTGCCATGGTAAGTCCCACAATGTTTGCGACTGCAATTTTCTTCTCTTCTCCTTTCTTTCTTTGAAAAATACAAGATGATGTTAGGTTTTAACATACTTTTCCAGTTGCATTTCTCTGTATCTACATGTATGTTGTTCAGAACTTTGCATGTCTTATATTATTGGTCTGCATTCTGTTTATTAATCAATACTTTCAGATATAGTCAACTGGTGGGATTATGTTGACTGTATATTTATTACTAGACTTAACAAAATATTTTCTTTCCCTCCCTGCTGTTGTGTTCTTATGTATTGCATCACATTTGTACTTGAATGTGTTGTGTTTCTTTGATTTCCTGTTTGTATATTGTGTCTGTGTCGTGCTATGTGTCTCTGTGTTTGTGTGGCAGTTTGAATGTTTGGGTCCTTGTCAAATGTTCATCAGCTCTGCATCTGAGGTTGTACAGCCTCTGTGTCACTCGTTGTAATCACAGTCTTCAGCCTCTATGTTGGTTTTGGTTTGCTGTGCCAGTGCGCCGCCTCCACTCTGCTGTATGCATGCTAAACCCGGGGCAACATATGTGCTTTCTGGCACCATATGGGTGCTCTCATCCTGTTGGAATTTGAATACTATACTTCTGCTGCAACTAACTACAGATTCAAACATAAACTTACTGCAGATATAATAATTATAATGTATTCTCTTGGAAGAGATAAAAACATATTTGGGATATATTTCAGTATGTTTCATCATTTGGTAACCTGAAAATAGGATTTATCAAAAACAGAGGAACATGGATTATAATTTTGTTTGCAGTAAGTAGTTTGCATCAGAGGTTGCAGCTGCCTACAGTATTGTTCAATAACTTGTCAGTCCTGAGGTGTGATATTCCTTTTATCACTGCTTTTACTCCCTTACCTTGCTGGGCAACTTCCCATCCCCACCCTACGCTTAAACAGTAGTTTCACCCGCCCCCTTTTTTGCAGAGGTAGATGTGTGCCATCCCAACCCTTGTGCCAATGGAGCCACCTGTGTGGAGAGTGCAGAATCTTACAAATGCTTATGCCTGCCAAGCTACGGAGGGGAAAGATGTGAGATCGGTATGAGATCAGCTTCTGCTTATAACTAAACTAACAACAGCCCCTCAAAAACAACTGAAGAAAGAGAGATGCTAATCATCACCAGCATCATTACTGGCTGGGGCTCTATGAGGAGACCTGGTGTCCAGAAGTCGAAGATGCCAACCTGCTGCAATGTCCTAAATTTGCCAGGAGACAGTGTTTTCTAAAGGGCAAAAAGCTATAAAAGAAACTAAAGGGTTGGTTCATCCAAATCACAAAAAACCTGAGAAGCGTCTACTAATGCAGTATTAGTTACTGAACAATTGAGTCTTTGGGAAACCATTTTCTTGGTTGTCATACAGTAGCAACACACCTTTAAAGGAATGGCAGGTCTGTCAAGTTTGTCATCATTTCAATTTGCAAAAAATATAAACATGTGGTTCTAGTAAGAGCTAAACTTGAAATGGATTGTACTGTAGTGTTAATTCATTTTAATTAAATTAAATAACAACATCAGGTGTAAAAAATTGATTGTTTGTCGAAAGAAAGAGGCTAACGTTAGCATGTCTGGCTAACTAGTGCTAGCGTCTACAGTAGTATCCAAGCGTTACATCCAGTGGCGGACTGGCCATCGGGACGTTCGAGACGAATCCCGATGGGCCGGTACCACTCGGCCCACTCCGATCAGGCCACTAGGTCCACCGTTTCCCCGCAGCGAGGCTTCCCCGCCCCCCGTTGACAGTGCACCGCCCCTGGTTACATCCAACATAAGGGATTTCAGATTCCATTTGAAATAACCGTGTTTAGTTTATCCATTAAATCTAAAATAGTCCCAGAGTCCACTGTAACAGACAAGCATGACATCATTAAATAATGACATTTTGAGATGCAGATCTGTCTTCCAAAGATGTCGAAAAATTACCAAGTTTGAATGAAGAGAGACAATTACTTTTTAAAACCCAACTGCATGATGTATTTTATAAAAGAATGTCCTATCCACCATAAAACATTATACATGCTGTAAAACTGTAACAGGGATAATTTATTTGATATAAAATACTCCCAATGAAAACTGCTGTCAAGGTGTTCAGACACAAGGTGGAAATATATCTTGTAATTTGGTTGAACTGATCCTTTAAGTAATTACGGCAAGAGAATGAATGAAGCCTTTGAATGCTACTGTAAAAATAAAAACTCACTCCTGCTTTACTGTTGGGCAGGGCTCCGCTTATGAATAAGTTTCCATTCTGCATTGAGACGTTTGTTCTGTCAGAATGGAAAACACTGCCCATCGTCAGACTTGCACTGGATGCCAAAGGAAACTGAGGGCATCGTAATGGGAAAATATGCTTCTCACTGAACACAATTTCTGAATATATAACTGAAACACTACATGGGTTATGAAAAATATCAAGCACTTCATCAGCTGCTCCATTACTAATACCGCTTAGATAGCAGAAATAATGATAAGAATACATAAGAGCTTCTCATCATCTGATGCTGTGCTTTAGTTTTAAAACCCATTTGTAGATGTTAGTCTCAGCGGCCTACAAATTGAAAACATGTACTAAACTATACTGAATATTGAAATGAATATGCCATACATTAAATGAATGATGACTCTTGCGGCTGCAGATGAGCAGCAGTGTGAAGACCGTTGGACTAAGTTTCAGGGGAACTGCTACCGACACTTCTCTGACAGAAAGTTGTGGCTGGATGCAGAGCAGCAGTGCAGGGACATGAACGCCCACCTGGCCAGCATCATCACCCCAGAGGAGCAGGACTTCGTCAACTGTGAGTGCACAATGTGCTGTGGTTTATTTGTGTTCACAGAGATGTAGACAATTTAAAACCAAGATCTCAATATACTTTTTTCTCCTGCAGTAAATGGACAGAACTATCAGTGGATCGGGCTGAATGACAAGACCGTAGCGAATGACTTCCGCTGGACGGATGGCACTCCACTGGTGAGTGAGGACTAGATATAGTCAGGGCCAAATATAGTATAGTTTGGTGTGTAACCCATTAAATCAAAGTCTACTTGTGACCTCTACTCTATGACTCTACTTTGGTAGGAAATTCAATCAAAACAGCTAAAAAGAGACGTAACATGACCATAAATGGATGCAAAACAAATAAGAAGTAAAACAACAAACAAGCTAACAACATTTTGTGTATCTTTTAGCATCTTGAAAATGGTGGTTCATAGTAATGTTTCAGCCTGAGCCTCTTGTCTACAATTCTTTCACAAAGGGCCCATTGTTCTTAATAATATGTCTCTGCTTCAATTACTTAAATATGTTAAATTATCCAGTAATTATTTTTCATTGGCTTTACTTTCCTGTTAATTAAATCACATTCCTTATATACGTATTATTATTTATGCATTAATCTAACCTTAGAGTCTACATTTGAATTTCTGTTTGGTTCTATATTGACTTGCATTTTACTGTGTATTAGTTTATTAGAGACGTGCGTTTAAAATGAACAAAGCACTTGTGATAAAATTTCTGAGCATTTGAATGCAAATTCACACACTTCATCATCAGGTCTGAAATAGAAACAACAGCTGCACCACTCCACCCACCTCACCTCAAGGTTTATCTGAAGGCACAAAATTACCAAACCAGTGCAAGCACAAAAACTAATTACTAATGTGTTTGAATATAACTCGGCACTGTTATTAAAAAATGTTGCTGCGATGGTGGAAGCCTGTTGCTTCAGGACCAGTGGGATGATCTACAAACTGTTTGTATTACCATGAGCCAGGTTTTCCTTTGCTGCTGGCAACCTTGTATTTTTGGCTGTAGCCCTCTGTATCAGAACACCTGTTGCCTCATCGAAATGAATTATAGATGATGCGTAGGTAGCACACAGTGTTACTGCGCCTTAAGGATAGAGGATCATGGAGAAGGAGAGAGATGCAACAAAAGGGAAAGTCAAGCACATATTTGGGACATTTTTTCTCTAAAAGGCATGCATAGCGTTGAAGTAGATTGGACATGTGGAACGTGACAGAACAATGAAAAACAAGATCATATCCTGCTTACGTACAGAGTACAGTACAGAATACGTTTTCAAATTAAACGTTGTTGTCCTTCTTACCTATTCTCTGTATCAGAGTTCACCTTGTAGTAATGTATGTTTCCTTCTCTTCTTAAGCAATACGAGAATTGGAAGCTGAACCAACCTGATAATTACTTCAACTCAGGAGAAGACTGTGTGGTGATGATCTGGCATCAGAACGGCCAGTGGAATGACGTGCCGTGCAACTACCGCCTGCCGTTCACTTGCAAGAAAGGCCCCGGTATGTTGGTTAGAGAAAAAAAGAACATCTTTAATTAAGTTTTTTTGCTGTTTTACTTTATTTTGTGCCATCAATCAATCAATGTTTATTTATATAGCCCAATATCACAAATGTTGCATTTGTCTCAGTGGTCTTCACAGTTTGTACAGAATATCAGTATGACAATACGACACCCTCTGTCCTTAGACCCTCACATCGTACAAGGAAACACTTCCAAAGAAACCCCACAGTTTAACGGCAAAATGGGAGAAGACTGCCCATATGCATTCATTTCATCTTTGTATAGAGTTTCTTTGGTACATTTGGTGGTTTATCAAAGCGTGTTAGTTAGTTATCAAAGCGTGTTAGTTTAAAAAATCCTTCTGGAAATGTGAGGTAAAACTAAAGAAAAAAGCTAAAAAGGCTAAAGAAGTCCCAGAGCTCAAGAGTTGGTAATTCTCCATCATTTTAGCAGAGGTATGAGGGGACTCTTTCACACGTATGAAAAACGTATAATTACTTGGCATTTAACAACTTCCTGTTCCCTAGTCTATAAATCTAAGTTTTTTTTAACTTGTTCTTGTGTACCTGCCTGAAATAAGGTCTGTGGTTAACACAAGCTAAAGATACATTTTATTTTGTTATTGGACCTAAAAGATAAAATACCCCACTTGTAAATGTCCAAAGCTTTTATATGGCATAAAAACAACAGTTGCGAAAAAGTGACTAAATGAGTCAACTATACTACTATCATCACGCTGAACATTAGCCGCTTTTAGCTTAAGGTTGCTGATGTGAAGTTATGCGACACTTCGCTTATAGCCTAACGTTGGCTTAACTTCTTGCATTTGCAGTTACTGTACGCTTCAAAATCAAAAAGTGTTGTCAATATGTAAAGACTATGCTTCTGAACAAAACGTTTAAGTATCATAAATGTGTGTTATCTTATTTTGCGTTATATTCGTAAATCAAATGGCAAAAACCCATTGGATTTTGTTAAGCCCTGAGTCTGTTTTTCAGGTTTCAGGCTCGAAAATGACATGCCCAGAACAAATGACTATATCTCCACTTCTAAAAGGGGTAAATTAATAATTTATTTTCTCAAAGCAATGATACACCTGTGAGTTGGATGTAGAAAAGTCAGAATCAATATAGATGTTTTTATTTTAAAGTAAATTCAGATTGAACATAGTAAAACAAATTAAATTATAGTTTTCGTCCAAAACAAACCCATTATTACTTATAGTGAAAACCACCGTTGAATGATGGGATAGTAGACTAAAAGCTTTAGGAATCCAAACTATAATAAGTACCCTGTATCAAGATTGATGCAAAACAAGTTAAATTTGACCTTATTAGAGAGGTTTAGAAAAAAAAAACACTTCTGGGGTCATTTGAGTGTATTTACCATATCTCTGGAACCCATCGGTCGATTTTGGTAATTGACACCTCTTTTGAACCGTTAGAGCCAATATAAATTCAAGGGGAGGTTCTTAAATCCATCTAAACATTACCATTGGTGAATGAGAGTGATGCGCAGCCAGCATGCCCTAAATCGGAAGCTGGGCTACAGCTCTCATACACTCTATATGAAAACTATACTCTTATTGACAAAATGTTATGATGGATTATCAGTAATCATTTCAAAGTGACACAGAGACATTGGATTAACCTTCAGCAGCTTTTATATGCGTTTTAATGCCATTGAACACAACTTTTGATCAGAAAACAGCGAAGGTAAGACTTATTTGCCATTTGGCTCCGTAAAGTGAAGTTGTGTGTTGTCTTAGGTCGCACAGTGATGATACAGTGATGATACTTATACCATTGGAATCTGTGGAATCTCAGCTTTCATATGATATCTTGTTTGTGCAGATATTTCGCTTAGTGCTAATTCAGACGATCGGCGTTAGAGTTGTGTTTTGTTTCGGTAATAATTGTTCATGTCGTCAGTTAGCTGAGTTTCTTGCCGTTAAGTGGGTATGACAAATTAATAGGTTGTTAAATGTTAAGAAGCCCTGAGACACAGTTTCGTGAATATTGTTGTGTTTTGCCCCCGAGGGCGGGGGCATGGGGTTTAACAGGTTTTAAGGGAGCTCATGTGTTGCTTTATACCAAGGTTGGCCTACAATAATATATATATATAATAATATATCAGTATTGATTGATATTGGTCTGATTACAACAGTATTGCCTACTATACTGAAAACACTTCTAAACACTTCTGAAAAATACAATATATACATGGCACAGGGTGTGACACCGTTACCTCTCGCTCTGTCCTCAGTGTCCTGTGGCGCCCCGCCTGAGGTGGAGAATTCCCATATGTTTGGTAACAAGAGGGAAGAATACCCTGTCAACTCCATCATCCGCTATCAGTGCAACCCAGGGTTTTTACAGCGCCACCCTCCGGTGGTCCGATGTAAGGCAGACGGTCAGTGGGAGGAGCCCCAAGTGGAATGTACTGATGGTGAGTGCAGTCTGTGTTGATTCCCCTTTGTTCACCTTGGGACTAAATTGTAGGAAAACCTCTCCGCAGGTAACGCAACTGTGTTGAATTATGTGAACTCACTCTTGTTGTTTTTCTCCTTCGCCACAGTTAAAGCCAGAAAAAGAACACAGCCGAGCACTAACAGGATGGCAGCTGGTGGCAAGCTTCACTAGAAGAAAAAAAAAGAGGACTTCATTATTTAAGAACGTTTGCAGCACAAATCCATTTTTTATTTTAGTGAAGATGACTTTAAAGGGTATAATAGTTGGAAGGCTACATCATTTTTTGATCCCCTGTCCCTCATAATATATTTTAATTATATATAATATTTTTGATTGCTCTGAGTTTATTTGCATTGTGTGTTGTGATTTAATTTTGTTTAGTGAATCTATTGCATACCCAGTTAGAAATTGTTGGTTCTAAAAACATTCTGAGAATGTTACCATTCATTGTTCTAGGAATGTTTTCAGTGGGAAGTTTTATTTTGGTTCCCAGAATGTTCTTCTGAAAGGTAGGATAACGTTCTCTAAAAACATTCTTAAAATGCTTGGTAATACCCTTTTATAAATGTTTTTGATAAAATTGTTAGAACATTATGCCCTACTATTCTTAAAACGTTTTCAGCTACATGTTAGATTTGTTTATGTTGCCAGAATGTTATTATTTTAGAGTAGGATAACGTGCTTTATCGTTCTGATTTATCAACAGCTAGTACAAGTCACTGTCGGTGTCACATGTATTGGAGGGGACCCAGAATCAGACTAGGAATCAGCTGGTGAGCGTAACATTTGTTTATTAGAAAAGGGGAGCTGGGAGTGGAGGGTGGTTATGGCGGCAGTGGGAAACAGAGCAGACCAGCAGGCAGGGGGGGGGGGGGGGGGGGGGGGGGGACACACACACAGTAGAAACAAACACATACAAACACTAACAGGGGTCTCAGGGACGGGCAGTGACAGTCGGTCCGTTCTTCTATATGTCTGTCGGTCTCAAATCTAAAGGGTGCAATAACGATTTTCATCCACTATGCATAAACAGCGGACACTGTTTATACGCAGCCCTAACAAAGAAACCACACACGGCCAGATAGCTTATCTAATGCCTCTTTCACACCAACGCGGTTCTAGGACTGGTTCGGAGCTAGAGCCTGATAAGCACCGTTTTTTCCTGTTCACGCCGCAGCGGAGCCGGCTCTTTTCCCTGAAAACCGGTTCTTACCAAGCTCCAAAAAATTGTCAGTTTAGAAGCAAGAACCGCATATGTCACGCTTACTTCGGAGGCGGGGGCAGGGGCGGGATCAACCTGAGCAACAGTTTATGGCGAGTATGGCAAATAAAAGTTGTAACAAGTAGTAGTGCTGAGCAAAGTGATTAGAACGCGACCACACACTTGTAAAAAAAACACACTTTATAAAGTCAGGCAACACTAACTTAGTGTGATTCTGTTTATTTGTACCTTACTTTGACCATCCGTTCGCTGTTATTGATCATTGTGGAGAGAGGCAGACATTTTGTTTTGTATTATAGCAGCTATAATACAGGTTGTCATGTCCGACTATCACAAGTAGAATCATAATGAAAAATACGCCGGTAAAATGTGCCTGTAGAAAATGGCTTATGCCACAATAGGATAGCAACAAGTAGTCAAGATAGTCAGTTTAGCTTCGGTTGCTATGCTAACATCACCCATTTTATACCAGAGAAACTTTCATAACAGCGTTGTGATGCCAAACAGCAGGCAGCACTGCAGCGGTCGGTAAATGCCGCTGAAACACATTGATAAACAATGAACTACGGCAGTCTGGAGAAAAGTATAAGCTACCAAGTTACCAACTTGGCTGCCGGAAGAGAGTACCAACGTTAATCAGCGATACTCCTGGCGACTAAAAGTGGCTTTTGTCATGATAAAAATAAACCTATTTGGTTTGAATAATACTTAGAAAACCAAATAGGTTTATGTATATCATAGAATAATTATATCAATATGACAATAGAGACATGTGCATAAACAACAAAAACACTTGCAGCTGAAAACATTTTAAGAACAGTAGGGCATAATGTTCTAACAATGTTATCAAAAACATCTTAAGAAGTTTTAAGAATGTTTTTAGAGAGCGTTATCCTACCTTTCAGAAGAACATTCTGGGAACCAAAATAAAACGTCCCGCTGAAAACGTTTTAATTATAGTAGGGCACAATGTTCTAACGATGTTATCAAAAACATCTTAAAGTTATCACCGAACATTCTGGGAACCAACATAAAATGTCCAGCTGAATACATTCCTAGAACAATGAATGTTAACATTCTCAGAATGTTTTTAGAACCAAGAATGTCTAGCTAAGAACTCACACATGCCACCGCAAACATGCAATATCTGCTTACAGCTTATCATGAATAAAGTGCTTGTTTGTTTTTTTCAAAAAGGAAAATGTGGTAACATCAGATTTTTTTAAAACATCCTTTTCAAACAAATGCAACAACTTGTGTTTTACGACAACTTCTGCTCAATTCGGTTTGTTGTAAAGCACTTTGGCACAAACCTGGTTTGTTTTTTAAAGCACTCTACAAATAAATCTGACGTTGACGATGACCGTGTTAATATTTCGCATCACAGGAACGTTTTATAAAAAAATAATAACCTCCTGAAAACTTATAAAAAACGTTCTGTCATCTCAGGTCTCAATAACATCCTGAACACATTTTCTGAATGTTGCTTTGAAAATGTTCTTCTTTTGTTATCATGTAACATTGAGGGAATGTTTTATAAAGAACATCTTTAATGTGTTACCTCAACAACGTCCAAAAAAACATCCTCAGAATGTTGCAGGCAAAACGTTCCACCTTTGTTAACATATCACATTAAAGGAACGTTTTATAAAAAACTTTCTGTCATCTCAGGCCTCAATAACATCCTCAAAACATCCTCTGAATGTTGCAGTTAAAACGTCTAAGCTAACCTTAAACCACATAGGAACATTATTTAAAATGATAAACATCCTCAAAAGGTTCTTTGAACATCAGATTAAAACGTTTTCTTTAAAACATTATTAGAACCTGTCGGTAACGTTAGCCAAAGTTGTGAGAAAGTTCCCTAGCTAGCTAGCTGGGTACTTTGTTCCATATAAGTTTGATTGAAGACAACATCTGTCTGGTCCACTGTTGGTTGGTGATGCGTCAAGATTTGCTTTACAACTTGTTTATGGTGTGAGACATCAAAAAAGTGATATGTTTGTGTATCTCCTTGATACTCCTTGGGCAGAGTACAGAAACTGGTGCTTTTAAAGTTCCCCAACGATTTCTGTCAGTCGTGCTCGTTCTTAAACAGAGAGAACTTGATAATCTAAAATTGCGCAGAGGTATACATTTTCAAGATGGATGCTATTGGGATTGTTAAACACAACTAAAGTGTTTAAAATATCTGGTCAAAGTTAACCTATATAAATTGAAACAGAAAAAGAACATTATGATATTAAGACTGATATTAGCCATGCAGAATATAGCAAACTATTCCCACAAACCGTAGTAAAACATTTGTTTAGAGCAGAGACTTGTGAATATGAACACATGACCTTTTATTTATTGACTTCACACAGTGACTGAGTCTCTGCTGGACCGAGCCAGTGTTTGTTATTCATCTTATGAGACTACAGCAGCATCAGCAACACACAGAAAGGCTGTATACACTACTGCTCATATTTAGTTGGCTGTTATGAGTATTTTGTTTTCTGTATTTTTAGAGTTCATCATCTCCCACGATGCTGTGCAGTGCATAGTGTTGTGGAACAATTGTCAGTATAATGAACCTGCTATCTATTTCATGTTTGTAACCTCAGAGGAAATAACCTCAATGTAAACATTGCAGTGTGAAATGCCTGCTTTTTTCCACCTTTGACTGCTTCCATTTGTGTGCTTGTTTTGTGTCATTATTGCTGTATTTGGGGGCTGTGCCTCTTGCAAACGTACTGTCACCTGCTACATGATGAACCAAAGACTGAGAATTCCATTTACAATCTGTACATGCATCTGCTGTAGTGCGTTATATTCACTAATTTAAAAAGATAACTGTTTATATTTTATGTTTTTCATGACAACAAATCACAATAAAACTCCAAAACCAACAGTGAAATCATCTACTAACACAAGTAATGTGTCTGTTTCAAGATCTACTTTATCTTCTTCTTTTGTGCCATAGAGCTCCATCAAAAACTATTGAAAACACATCAATGAGCAACAATGTTGAACTGGGTGTTTAACTTTGGTTTATATTTTACACATGGTCAACTAACACCAGTAATGTCAATTAAATTCTGCCTGTCAGTTTCCAATTAAAAAATAATGTTGCTTTGAGGACAATGCAGGTAAAACTGCAGCTGTGAAAACTGGTTCTCTGCACGAGGAACTGATATAGAAAATAAAAAAGAAGAGAAGAGAACTCAAATGTCTGAATGTTTGTATTCACATGTATCAATTACAAATTAAAACTATGTGGGTGTTACCTTCTGTACATTATTCATGTTTTAATCACTCTGCTCCTACCTGAGGATGTTAGGTTTACAAGTGTTCAACTTATATAATTAACAGACTGTGGGCATCAGTCAGGCCTCCTTCATTCCAGAGGGGTCACCGCCCAGATATTCAGGTACAGACAACAAACACATCTTTCACCTGGCTCTCAGTGAGCGAAGTGTTTCTGTGGCAGCAGCCGAGGCAAATAGAACATGGCGCTGACTCATAGGAATAATAAAATGACGGTACATTTCTATTTGCCCAACAGGGTGGGTTGCGCATGGCGTCAGCGTTCCCTTGTGACTGAATAGGGTTCTTTTAAGGATCTCTTGCACCCCACCCATAACACACACCGGTTCACCTCTCCGCCCCGGGCCTCAGGATGAATCGTTTCTCTCTGCTCTCAACATGTTTTGCACTTGCTAATTAGTGGAAAACAGACAAATGTTGTAACCTAAAACATATTGCTAAGTGTTTCCTGCTGTGAGCAGCAACATTAGAAAAACTAACATTATTGTCAAACTATGAGACTGAAGCACCTGAATCTCAACCCTTAAATAAATCAGAAAAAGGTTTATTCAAATAACTGAAATAAAAATTATAGCAATATGTCATACAGTATAATAACATGTACAGGGGAAAACTGCTAAATTTGTTATGATGATGAGAGAATCACTAGTCTGTCTGTTCACTAAATATAAACTATCGGTTAGCTTACCATATTTTTAAATGTAATTTTCTCCTCTCTGGAAACATATTTGTCTGACAGAAATGGCAGAAGTAATGTCACAGTGAAACAGCAGGTGGGAAATCTTCAACTTCATTAATGGCACATATTTGTATCATAATCTCTGATGTCCATTGCAAATATATTGCCATAAATACGCTTTACTACAAAAAAGCCTGAGCAAGCAAGTTTTTCTGAGAGTAAACCACACTCTAATTTTGTAGTTTCGCTATCTTAATTAAAATGAAACCCTTC